AGGGGAAGGGGAAGGGGAAGGGGAAGCTGCCCTTTTCCTGCAGCGCAGTTAGCTAAGGGCAGCCAGGCAGGCAAAGCTCACTGCAGGCCATGCCAGCAAGGCAGCAGCCACCACCACCATGGGTTTTTCCCACTCTGGGGGAAAACTGTGTAGGCACTGTTTTTATTTTACTCTTACACGTGTCATCACAGAGGCATTACCAGCCTCTATAATCAGGCCAGCTGCATGTCCATTTTCAGAGCCATCAGAGATTGGCGCTATTGGCCATGGTGGGAGCTTCTCACAGCTTCTCACAGAAGCTATCCCTGAGGCCCTACCAAAAAATTAGGCTGTGCTAAATCAACACAGCAAGCCTATCTCTGAGAATGTGGCCCAGAAAATATGTCTGCCCTCTCACACTTCTGTGAGCTTACAACACTCTCTGCAATTAGGAAAGATCCCCTTTCTGTTCCGAAAGCTGCTGACAAGAATGGAAATGGATTATTGGACACAGGTTTATGAACACAAGCTATCGCTAGATGTGCAGCTTACATCCTTCTGCAATAAATGGCTGCTTTTTAAACAACCTGATGCAATGAGAGCATGTGTCCTTTGTATTATTTAATGACCTGTGACAAAAACTTAGGCATAGGAAAATATTCTTTCTTGGGAGGCATGAGATGTGGTTGATGAAAAGTAACGTGAAAAAAAGCTGTAATTGTCAGGGATGAATTTGGCAGAGGAGGGAAGAGATAGGAAAACCTCACCACTGACATTTTTATTTCATAGGGGAAGTCTACACAGTCTGATTTCTTTCTTCAAACCAAGGTAAGAATGTCCTGGTAGCTCAGTTCTTGTTTAGGTCTCAAGATTGTTGTACAACAAATGAGACTGTTCATTCCTAATAAATTTCACCTGTTTTGCTTCTAGGGCGAACAGACAGAAATTTTTCATTTACTGTCACACACTAATAAAAGTTGAATGATATTTGTAATACCTTATTCTCTTTCAGTCAAGGCATAGAAGCAATGATTTAATTTTAATCTTCCAGTTTTCCACTTCAGAAAACAGTTTCCATGCTTGTTTCAATTCAAAAAGTAAGCTTATTATTTGCATACAGAGCATATTTTATTATGAAGGTTTTATCTCTGAAATCTGCAACATTTTATTACTCCACTAGGGACAGGTGTTGATGATGTATTTCTTTCTTCCGTGCAGCAATACGTTACAGAGGGTGTTATTCCTGCATCAGGAATTACCATTGATAAAATACACAACTAACATGAACTGACACAGAAAGTTTTGAATGGAAAATGTCAACCTATGTACTCTGCTTTTAACTATTTTATTTAAATCTTGTGAATTTCCTTTACTTTGTAGTGACTGCATGGCCAGATCCTGTCCAGAGGAAATCTGTGCTTTAGAAATAGAGCCATGCTAGGGTACAGTAGGAGCTCTTCAAACTTCAGACCAAGCTTCAGACCTTACCAACCACAAGTCAATATGTGTGGCAGACACACAGAGAAACCAAAAAATTGATTGTCAGCTGTGCTGATAGATCTCATTCATTACTTTGCTGTGGTTAATGGAAGTTTCTTTTCTCTTTAACAACCACAGCAATTCAAAATACCACTGGAATACAAAATCAGAACCAAGAGAAAAATCAAAGCATATTGTTTCAGCCAGCTGAGATGGTTTTTCTTCCATATTATGCTTATAGTAGTTTTTATCTTTGGCAGACGCCTGCCAAAAATCTTTTAAGACCTTTCTACTTTTCATTGTTGGGAGAGATCATACGTGTTGGATAGAAAAAAAATAAATCTTCCCATATTCCTTACAGTATTTAATTCAGGAAAATTCAAGTTATGACTCTATTTTTGCAATGTTTACTGTCTTGATCAAGCAATCCTACCAAGTTCCATAATATGAACATCCCATATCATTATTCAGGATTAATCAAGTTGGGGAAGGTTTTCTTACTCATTTTTAGTTATTTGGCCTCAAATTGATATTGCTACAGGTAGCATAAGGGAGTTAATTTGTTTAAATAGAAGTTGAAGACATAGAGGAAATCAAGACTGGTTTCTTTTGCAGAACAAAAAGACAGGGCAATGTGTTGTTTCAGTCAATAAAATTCTGTTCAATATCTAAATGAAGGTAAAACAATGCTAACAGAAAAAGTGAACAGTACTCTCTAGAAAAAGGCAGGCTCTTTTCTACTTTGCAGAAAAGTATGACAGCTAGCCTCTCTTTATAGGATATTAATAGTTTACCACCACTTGTGGCTTTTCTTAATTAGTGTGCCTTTTTAGTACATGGCTTTAAAGAAAGAAATTATTCTCTCATGAAAAAATAAACTTTTTCTTTTCTATTATACTTACCTGTTTCTGACTGTTACACACAAAAGTGCAGAAAAATACTTATTCATAGATAAATGTACATAATTATTTAACACCTTGCACATTGCTTTAATAAAAAAACCATCCATGCCAGTGCTTAAAACACTTGGGGCAAGAGCATTTCAGTCAAATGAATATTTGTGTAATTTTAATATAGGAGTGGCTGTGTGCCTGTGCATATCTGTCTCTCCAAGCAGCCCATATTGGTGTAAAATTCAGATAATTTTTGTCTCTTTTACTTAAGAGTCCCTTCATTTATTCTTGAAGGATTTTGTCACTAACCCGCTTTCACCTGTGACAGGCACAGGTAAATCTCAGATAAAAATTTATGTTCCAATCTAAAATGGATCCTTTCTAATATAGCCCGAAGCTGCTTAGGTTATGAATTTTGTGGTGTATTAGGATACTCTTCAGTGATAAGAAAAGAGTAGAGATTAGATATGTTCCAGGCTGTGTGTATGTTCTCTCAAACAGCTGAGAGAAGCAGTCTCTAAAGGAATGTTTCAATTTTTTTTCTCATGAATTGATAGTGGTGTATTTCTTTCTTACCAAGGTGACAGCATGTATGAGATGTAAAGACTAGTTTGCTCAGGCAATTACCCCTTGTTGATAGCTGATTACTTCCTCTGTCAAACTTGAAAATAACTTGTTGGTATGTAAGTTACTGCTGTCCTGGGGATGCACCAGTTTAGTCTCCTGTCTCCTTTATGAGCACATTTATTTTAATCAGTAGAATTTGGAATGGCTTTTTTTATGCACCCTGTTGTAATATAACAAAGGAGAGTGTATTTGCACACACAGGAGAAGAAAGATTTTATATATTGCAGAAGAGCATGCCTTATGGGGGGAATCGTATCCTGTGCTCTTTTTCCAAGCAAAGGATGTAACATTCACTTTCAACAGCTGTGGCCCAAATTATTTTTCTAAATAAATGTTTCATATCAGTGAGTTACAAACAGTATCACTTATACTTGAGAACAGTGTCTGAGAAAACAGTGATCACATAAAATTGGCCCATGAAATTGCGCCACAGGAAATAAAGACTTGAATTTTTTTTGCTCGTATTTTTGTTTCTTTCTTTCTTTCCTTTTTTGGGGTGTTTTTGTGGCTGTTTGAGGGGAGGTGGAGCTATGTTAAAAGCTTTAAAATAAAGCATGCATTTTGTGTAGTACCTAATGAAAAGGATATTTTGCAGAAAAATCAGTCATAAAATACATGTCAAACAAAATGCTTATTGTATACTTTCACATGAAAATAGAAATTAAAGTGAAAATTATCACTCTTGCGACTGGAAAACTTTCTAAATGTAGAAATATTTAAAATTTTCTTCTACTATCTAAAGTTCAGGACATTCTGCTGAAGTATGTGGAGCCATTTCCATGGCAAGTTACTGTTTTAGCTGTGTGGGAGACACTGGCCTAAATAAGGTCAATATACAATTATAACATCATTGATTAACATATAAACATAAAAACTATCGCAGTATATAGTTAAATACATTAATTATTAAAAATATTGCCATATAAGCACATTTTAACTTCCTGCTTAAAAATTAAGAGCCTTCTTTGATGCATGTTAATAGCCCACATCAAAATTAATGGTACTTTTGTTAACATTATAGCTTTTTAGAATAGCAAATAAGTGTTATGGGGAAATTGTGGCTAAATATTGTCTTTTCTAGTAACCTCGTTATGTTTGTGGACACTTAACCTTTTTGCATGTGCCACCTGACTTGCATACTATTTGCTTAGTACTGACATCACTTCTACTGGTATTGCTTTTCATGTTGTTAAATAAAATCAAACAATTTTTTTTTTGCACAGCATGCTTAGAAAACAAGTGCTAAATTAGACTTTGCACCCATGTTCCTCTGCACTCTGGTGAAGTTTGCACTGCCTTTAATCTCTTTTGCTTGCAGAAGTTACATTTATTTTCCAGTGATATGTGACATTCTTCTGAGATGTATTGTGGTTGATCTGTGATTCAATAGTCATATGCTGTACTTTGGAGATACCATAGTTCCCATGATTTGTCTTTTTCTTCCTAATGCTGCTGATGCATGTCCTCCATTACTGGTTTGTCCTGATTGTGAGGGGAAAAAAATTACATCTGTGAGCACCTCTATTTATATCTCTTCTTGTTGATAAGAGTACTAGCTACTTCCTTATAACAAAATAACCTGTTGATATTTATTGATTCTGTGCAGTGGCAGCTGCTTAATTTAATTAAAAGGTTCTGCATCTTTTCCTAAGAATTCACAGGTAACAGTATCACAAATAGTTTCTGATTTAAAAAAAAACATGAATATTTGACATTCAAAAAAATGTATGCGTTTTTTCTAGTATTTCTCTACATTTTAACTTTTTGGTCTACACTAGAACAGTCATACAGAAGTGACAAAATATCAGAAGACAAGTATCCTTTGTGCTTGTGACTTAGTCAAGCCCTGAGAATAACTGAAATACACACACAAAGTTGCTATCTTTCTTTGGCATGTTGTTAAGAATAAAGTTTGAACTGACTACAGAAGTCCTTACAAAATCATTTAATGTCAATTTGGTATTTACATGAGACCAGGAGAGTTCCAAATACCAAATAAATTCCTGCATCCAGGTCAGAGGTGTACAAGGGAGGAGTAAATGTTGGAAGAAAAACCTAGTTCTCACAGACACTTTTTCTGAAATATCAAAAGGACAACCAGGAAAATCCTACCAAAGGGAGCAAATTTTCTTGCTGCAAGAAGAATAGCACTGAAATGGCAGCTCACATCTGGAGGGGATATTGGTGTCAGGCCTGAAACCAAGGTAGACTAGATTTTGAAGAGTAGTTACCAAGAATAACTGATGATCCCCTCACAGTGAGGGCAATGTGTAATGATAAACCACCAAAACTATTTATCACATTAAAATCCATGTGGATTTGAATACAAACCCTGGAATCTTCCAGAATAAGTTCTGTTTGAGAAGGAGTTGATGCACTCTTGTAGAAGACTGTCTCTCCAAGGACACTGAAGTTGCAACTGCAGACTTGAAACAGACAAAGATCAGGAAAACAGAACTGTTGATGCACTTTAATTTTTAAAGGTTATCTCCCAAGTCTACTATTATAGTAGACTTTTTGTGCAAAATTCCATGGGAAGGAGAGCACAGGCATTGTGTACTTGTGCAACACTTAAGAAGTTGATACATCAGTCCCTTTGGACCAGAAGGGTCATGTCTCTGGAAGACAGAGAGAGATAGAATTTTTAATATAATATGGTGTCCCAATTAACTCAGGTGATCCCTCTTTGTTCATTCAGTTGCACTCAATTCAACTGGCAACTCCCAGCCCAGTGGTGAGATCTCACCTAGCAATCTTTCTGCTCTCCCTGACTTGTCCAAAGCCTTTGAGAAAGACAGAAGCCACAGATGGGAACTTCTGCTGAGCAGAACAGTGGTGGTTTACAGTGGAGATCACACAAGATGTTGGCAGCGTTATGCTATGGAAGCATGACACAGAGAACAGATGAACTTCACAGTTTTTCACAGCTTTTCCAGTACCACGTTTACTCGAGTGAAGCAAAACTTCCATATAATCAGCTATCCAGAGTCTATCGTTTGTCATGCGCTGAACAAAGCCCTGCTTCTATGGTGGTGAATCAGAATTCTGAATATAAAAGGCCTTTTTCATGTCCTCCTGTGTAAGAATAGGTTTGTATGTCTTTAAATTGTTTATGAATCCTCTATCTGCTTATTCAGTGCTGTAGGCAAGAAACAGATAGAATATGAGAATAACTAGGGCCTGAATGTTTGTGAATAATGTATCAAAGGTATTTTTTTAAAAACTTCCTCCATTGATATGGTTGTCTTGCATTCAATAAAGGCACAAAAAAACCAAATTTGCTTTACTAAGTAAGACAATCATCTTGTCTTCTTTCAGTTAAAAAGGTGAATAGATCTCCCTTGCATCAACTACAAATATTTTTGTGTGTGTACATAATAGTCGTATGAGAAGCAATGCAATACAGGATATCGTTACAATTCACACAATATTTTAAATAATATTTTTGCACCTCTGTGTGATACTTTATTAAAGTTCTGTACCCTGGAGGGTCTCAGTCACTGGGAAACAAATAAAAGCTACAAAATAGGAAGTCTCTAAATGTATGAGTGTTTTATAAATCAGTGATGGGTTTTACACTTTCCTGCTATGTGTCAGACCAGCGTGAGGGTCTGCAAGGAAGTCAGAAAACTGCAAATAGACGATGAATGTGCCTCTGGCAAAGCAGTTAGGTCTGGGGTGGGTGACAAACTCAATGTAATCACAATATTTGAAAGGAGAACACTTTTTCTTTTCCTTGGAAATGCTTACCGCCTATACAGAAAAGACTCAAATACTCTTTTATGGCTTTCACCAGTCAAATATCCATGAACCAGATTGTTTCCAGGAAAAAACTTTAATCTGGAGCTTCATCTCCAATCTGGGAGCACCTTCCTACACTGTGAATATTGCTACTGATGGCATAGATAATTGAAACCCAGGAGAAGCTTCCGTTTCATCTGCAAGTAGGCATTTAACCTCGGTGTCAAGTGCACTTCATTTACATAGAGAGAACATGAGTGTATATTTCAGTATACTCAAAACAGATATCACTGAGACGACATTAAAGCTTGTCCTCTTTGCATTGTGTTTACAGATTTTTGTCTTCTGCCAGTAGCCAATTTGTACTCTACAGGAATTTAGCAGTCAGACCCTGACCAATAAATGGGCTGAGCTCATAAAATTTTTCCATGAGTCCCTCAGAGAAAGCCAAATACATTTGCTGAGCTCATGAGGACTCCAGAGAGATCAGCAGGTGTAGCCAGCAAGTTGAGATAAAATGCTGCTCTGAGATAAATTTTAAAAAGACACCTGGTTTTTCGGTTTTTAGTTTTTTTTGAGAAATCAAAAGTTTTCACAGCCATTAAGCCTCAGTAAGTCTAAAACACAAAATTGTATCAGGACATGTTCTCACTTCAGAAATGTAAACTGGAATCACTATCCAGATCAAAAGTATTCTTTGGACTAGCATGAACTTTCCAAGATTAAAGCAGATAGGAACACATTAGACTTGGAGGAAAACTGAACTTGTAATATTCATTTTGATGTTTAAAGGTTAGTGGTTTGGAGATCGCTGAACTCCACACCCATCCAAAGCAAGTACTTCACCTTTGCCTTTAAAGTAGCAGGAAGATAAGATTTTTCATGTTTTTAAGCATTTTCATCAAGGGTGCAAATACACTGCTCATGGTCTCCCTCAATTCCTTACGAATAGAGTGGTTTAAAGGAATAAAACGCTGTACATGAATGGGATTCTTAGTGCCCACTATTTTACCTGTGGCTCAGGCTCTTTGAAGACTCAACTGGCTGTTTAATTATTACTCATAAAACTTTCATGGATAAGTGTTTCCCGGTGTATGGAGCTGACGCAGAGCACTCACTGCTACTCAAAAGTACTACTGTACACTGGATTGAGACAGCAGTAAAGGGAATTTTGTTTCTCGGCTACTGATGTGCTGGATGGCCCTTTTCTAGCCACTTTGGTCTTGTGTGCGCCACACCAGTCCAGACCAGAAAGCTGCTATAACAGCTGCAGCAATACTTTTGCTAGGTTTTAGATTCTCCAGCCTGTGGTTGTAAAACCACAAAGTAAGTAAGTATAAACCACAAAGAAAGTAAAAATCTCAAAGAAGGTAAGTCTTGCAAGATTTCTGAGTGCATTTGATGCAATTATGACTATAGAACAATAGGCTGTTTGCACATATTGTATCCATGATTGCACATGAATAAAAAAAAAATCAGCATTTATGCATATGTAAAGATATCAACCTATTTATATAGCTATATACATGCAATTAGTGCCACTAAACTGGAGATTCAACTAACTGTATATACACCAGAAATTAAAACAAACAGCCTACTACTCTTTAGTTCTCTTTCCCATTCAAAACAAGCCTCATGATGAAGGTAATACTTAGCTAATTAATGGTAGTTTGTCCTTGTTGCCAGTTTTAACCTACAGCATTGTCTTCAGCAGTATACCAAGACCAGAAAGATATTGACAGATGCATTGTGACAATCCCAGTGCAAATCATATTACAGTCATCCTAACACTAATTTTGCCAAAGCAAAGATAATGATTCTAAGTAATAGCTGAGCAAAACAATTACAGCACATTGCTAGCAGGTATGGAGGGCTCCTATGGCTCGCTTATAACAATGCAAAGCTGCAGAGCTGTTATCTTTATCAGAACCATTTTCTCTTGTTTGTGATTTGTGACACCAGCAAACAAAACAACCTTGGCACCAGCAGCAGTTCGGGATCAATGTGGGTGTTAATGACATTGTGAGTAGATAAATACAAGGGCAGGAATCCAAATCCCACAACAGCCCTCTTACAGTTAATGCCATCTCTGCAAATGGCACATTCTTGGAGCGAGTCCAGGAGCCGTGGTCACAAGATGAACTTTCCCTGACTTTGCAATGCATTAACATCCAGCACACCCTGGCATCCACAACCCTTGCTTATGAATCACTCAGAGGCCCCTACATATATTTTCCAAATAAATGTCAGCAAACATGTTCTGTACTAAAGAGTACAATTGTTTAACACTTTGTCAGGCGGTTACCATGGGTTGTATCAACACATGAGGATGTGTATTTTATAATTCACTTGGAAAAGATTTTTGACCTATGCGCCAATGAGCAGGTTGCAGACTGAGTAGTATTTGCTTTCTGAAAGGCAGTATGATATTGCAAGGTCAGTTTACTGTCATTTTTTTCCTTAGTAAAAAAGAAAAAAAAGAAAACAAAACAAAACAAAAAACCAAAACAAACATAAAAAACCTTAAGGGGCATTTAACATATTTTGACAAGGTGACCCACAATTTTTCATTAGTGCCGTGTTTGTCTAAGCTCCTCTGCATTGATATGCATGGACCATGTAGTCATTCACTGATGTCTCACTTGGGGTGGGAAATAAGGCAAGTGGGACTTCTCCAAGGTCTTTCACAGATAGAGTGCATCTAGCTATTGATTAAACATTTGGATAGTTAATCAACACAGCTAAGCCCTTTTAATCTGCCATGTGCTGTATAAAAAATATTTCATAAAAGAGAAGGAGCCATGAGGAGAAAATTTTCATTTTTAAATTCAACATAAAAACATGCCTTAGTAGAAAATAAGGACATAGAAAATATTGTGAAATTAGATTTGATCCCTGATTCAAATACCAAACCACAATTACAGCCTTGAAGTGTTAGACGATGGCTGTTCTATGTTAACTCCACCAAGTTTTGCCTGTAGCAATGATGGACTACATGTTCACTATTTTTTCATGTACTGGAGAGAAGAAATGCTAAATTCCCACTTGCTCAGTTGGTGAAGATTTTATTCAGATTCTCAATTCTACCACATCTGCAAGATATGACAGTTTCTAGAGTGTTGAGAGAGAACACCTGTAATGTGTAGAAATCAGTATCAGAATTGCTTTGTTATTTACATTAGTTCTTGCCGGGCTGCCAGTGAAAGAAGCACAAAAAACCCCACACCAAACACCTAGAATACTGCAGCAGTTATTTCACTGCTATCTCTACTGGACAATCTTCACCTGCACCCTGCCCTTCACTGTATGACCTCCAAAGTCACCGGGAACAGAAAGATGTTATTCTCAACGTTAGTAGTGTCTTAGAATTCCATTGGCTTCAAAGGGTCTAAAGGATTTACACCAACTGGAGATAAGACAAGTGGGGCGTTTGGTACCTGGGAGAGCCTGCAAAGTATTCCCCATATTTGTTATTGGCTCTCTGCAAGATGAGAATCAGCAGAGGATAGCATCAGTTGGTGAATATCAGCTGAACATCGGTTGCTCAGAGGGAGGATCACATGTCCCTTTCCTACCTGTGTGGTGTTTATAGTACCACATCTGTGAATCCAGACATTGCATTAAGGATTTGTTGCAACTGTAAATGCCAGCTCCTATTCCTCATTAACCATTTCAAAACAGCTTA